CTGTTATAGTGAAGCAATACTTTGATATTCGCCACAACTCCCTACGGAGTTCAGAACCGTCGATCGTAAACCAGTGAACTCCCATTTAACTTTGCGACGTTAACTTCAGTTGAAAAGTTTTATTTCTTGTTTTTATAACAGTCTGTGGCCATCCATAACATCGTTTGGCTTTTTAAATGTACTCCGTAACTTTATACTTCCTTCTAACATCTTAGATGGAATAAAATATTTAAGGATTTTTGGCCGGATTTGAGGTATTTCGTTAGAGGATTTTTTGTTTGGTTTCATAAATATAACTTTACAGAAAAGCTTTAATGATAAGCGTCAATAATTAATTGATTCTAAAATTTATGTATGATTCTTGAATATAATCTGTGTCATATCCAAAAATAGTTTCCTGAGATCTGGCATAAGTGCCGGCTTTTGTTAAAATGACAATTAAAAAAAAATATCACACCAAAACAAAAGGTCAAGCACTATGGTACTAACAAGACAACTTTCCAACATACTCAAGGAAGCAACAATACTTAATTAAACTCAAGTCGGAAGTGTGAAAGAATGGCAAATATCTTTGACTATAGAGAAATGGACTAGGCAAAAGTCGCTGTTATTATCTCTCATCTTTCGCTATGTATGAGAATACAGAACGAGCATACCACACAAGCATAGAACTTATACGATTTTATTTGACAGAGGAAAATGTGAGCTCGTCTGGTCCTGTTATTTAAAAGTCAAAGGCAAATGTTATCGTCGCTCGTTATCATTGCGGTTTTCATGCGAAGTGGTATAAGTAGAATGCATTGTGATCTGTCACGGTCCGGTTGTTGTTCCCGTGAGAGTGATACGTACCCTGAACGTCTTCATTATGCACTTGACGATGTATACTTATGTCTCGTTAGTACTCCGCCATTGTTAAAGTTTGCTAATCGGAAATTCTACGATTGCTTTGCAGTTTTTTTTTCTTTATTATAGTAATGTATTTTTTATATAAAAAAAACAATTATTTATGAAACTTGTTCTCATTTAAAATATTTTAAAAACCTAATAATGAAGCTAGTATTTGGGTATACAAGTTAATTTTAATATTTTTACGGAAATTTTTTCAGAAAGTCTGAAAACACTTGCATAAATTTTCTTCTAATTCTAAATATTTTTATTTATTAGATTATTAACTAGCGGTTGCCCGCAACTTAGTCGACGCAATACATAAAAAAATAAATATGAATACTCTTTTGGTATTACATACAGACAGTCCAATTTAATTAATAGGATAGATTATTCCGTAACAGTTGGTTCTTTCTCTACATTTGTATTCGTTGATAATCGAACATATTACTAAATATCACAGTTAACATCGAATATTCAAAGTAATGTTATAAAAAATCGTATCCACATAGAATAACGATTCATGTGATAGTAAAACCCTGAAGCTGCACTTTAAAGACAGTTTTAATTTTATAAATAAACGTAACAAATTATGAACTGGTTAACAATTTTATTATAAAAAAACTCTTATTTAATTCATCTTAAACTCAGATAATCGTTCTCTTTCACTTTACAAAGGCGTGAAAATAAACAGATTCTTATTACAAATCCGGTGTCAACAAATTTTTAAAGTATTTTGAACTCTATTACAAAGCAATAAGAAAATACAGGGACTCTATAAACTATAGATGAATCGTGGTCATCTTAAAAAGGTCAGATCTGATTACCCAACAGTAAAGCCAGTGTAATGAAATCAAATTAAATTGAATAACCGACACCCTTCTAAGTGTAATCACTAGAATTGAGATGTTCATTCCACTAACGAGATAACATCGCGTTACATCACGGTTCATCTTAAACACCTTGTTAATTGAGAAATATTTCAATCAGGTAATGTGTCACTGAAACTTATGTTCACGTAATTTAATTTAGCTCAACTACATAATTCTGGTATCAGAGTAACCATGGGTTTCCGAGACTAAAATCCCCGATTAAAACATATTTTATTGCTATTTTGTCAAAGATAATAATGAGGAAATGTTTTATACAGATATTTTGGTCTCAGAAACCACTGGTAAATAGTTTCGTAGTAGGGATAAAATACGAAACATACTATTATACTTCTTGCTTTTGATTCTATTTTGGTGGCCTTCCGTTCACTACATTACTAGTCCTGTTTTTCTCTTCGGAAACTCTTCCATGTGGTTAAATTAAGTACAGCAGTGTAAGTACGCGTTTTTATTAAAATTTAACATAGAAGAATGAAACATTTTAATACGAACTGGTTTTTAGTAAACGTTCGAGTAATAGTTTGTGTGAATGACCTTAAGAAGCCACGCTAAATCCACGGACATTACGTAATGACGTCATCATCGTGAACATTTGATGTCATCAAGATATATTCCTCGAATTCCGTGTGTAATACACTTACAAGTTCATCATTAGTTTGCCAAACGATTTCATACCTTGAAAACAGAAGCATAAGACACTTTTTACTTTTAAGTTTATTTAAAAAAAGCTTTAAGTATTTATTGGTGTTGTAGCCATGACTTGTATAAAATATTTGTCATGTTACTTCATGTTCTCTTTTTTACACAAAAAAAACATTAAATTATAGAATTATTTACTGTAAAGAAATAATATCTTTGTCAAAATGTTTTTAAATGGTGATATTGGACCCAGAAACCTACGGTTACTTCGATATTGGTTCATATTTAGAAATATTCCTGTTTAAAAGACAAAGTGAAAAGAACGTTTATCTTTAAGTTAATTTAAACGTGATAATTCCATTACTAATATAACATTATGTACCATTTAACAGACTTAATGGCACTTTAAAATATCTAAAGAATTAGCTTCAGGCATGTAGCCATTTTAGTCGTCTGAGACACTTTAATAGTCAATGAGTTTAAACACTTTCGAATTTTTTAATTATACGTAGTGCTTGACCAATATTTTATTGTGGTCGAGCATGTCTTAGTATCTCCACGATGCTTGAGCACACCCACATCGCACCTAAACACAATAATTCGTATTTAAATTTTAAGGAAAGTCAAGCATCTAAATATGTACACTAGCTGTTGCAAGCGACTCCTTCCGCGCTGAATTAAAACAAGTAGTCTATGTCTTTTTTTTATAACAGAAGATGGCAAACGAGCAGCGGGAACACCGAGGTGTTCAACAACGCCCATGGACATCAGCAATACCAGAGGAACCGCAATCGTCTTCTTGCAAACTGTCTTTTACATCTATATAATTTTGAGTGACATCCAAGCAGTCTTTCTGGAGATATTTATCCTTCCATTCATCAGAGTTGAACTACGAATTTGTTAAATAAAATTGAACTATGCACCTATGTGATAACATTATTTGAAGTATTGTAATTTTCCACTCTTCTGTTTTAAAGATTGAAGAAAAACTTGCTCAAATGTTACTTATTTTAGCGCACAAATAAGCAAAAAACCTGTTTAACGTGCGGTATGTCATCATGTGGTTTTTATAAGTTCATTTGGTTATTGAACTTTGTATAGAAACTGACCAAAAAACTTGTTCGCAAATACCAAGCAAATTAAATCATTTGCAACTCAATTAGTTTACATTAAGTTTTTTATTATGTTTAAATTTGTTTTATAATTAGTACAAAAAATATGTTTTCTAATATTATCTTACAGCTTGTCAGTATATTTTTTGACAAAACTAATAGTAACTAACTGTAGATGTAGATAAAGAATAGTTACTACTAACAAACAAGATAGTAAGGTTATAGATTTATTTGTTAACTTTGGCTTCCATAGTAAAATCTTACGAACTATGACGTCATATCGCTAGCAACTGAAATTCTCGTTTGATGTTTTACGTTTTGGCAGTTAATTAAACGTACTAAAGTTAAATAATCGTAACTAAAGTAATTATAAGATAATTATTCAATCGTAACAAACAGGTCAAACCGAAATTTCTAAAAGCAGTATACAATACAAAATCATATCTGAATTATAGTTAAATATTCTTTGAAAGTTTTTTTTTTAGAATAGATCTTAGCAATTTTATAAATGCAAATGTTTAGATGGACGGATGGATGTTTGGAGATATCTCCGGAAAGGCTGAATGGATCTCGATGAAATTTTGCATACATATAGAACAAAGTCTAGAACACATAGGCTATATAATTATGTTTTTTTAATTCCACGCGGACGGAGTCGCGGGCAACCGCTAGTATTTAATAATTCTCAAAGTCTATCCATACAATACTTTAACTATTTGAAATAGGTTAAACGAAGTTATTCAATGTTATGTTTAATTTACATAATAAATTCATGCGATACTAACATTACGTTCGTTCCTTTAAATATTTTGATTGAAGGTTTGATAATCTGAAACATTAGTCTTGGTTATTTCTTGCTACTATTATTTACATAATCCTTTGCTAGTTTTAATAACAGCCATTATAAAGTATAAACTGTGAGCTCTGAAAATATAATTAATATCCAGCTCACTCTGATCTCTGATTGAAGGCATTGCCTACGCTAATTATAATTATACTTTGGTGTTTACGATGATGAAAATAATATTCATTAATATTGCGCGTGTAGTGAACGAACATGTTTGCAAAATCATCATGTAACTGGTAATAATATATCTGTTTGATGTGTTTTTATTATTTTTATGTAACTAAAAAACTATTGAATCGATTTTTAAATAAGAATAAGCGATTGACCTAATCTATATTTGTTTTTGTGTCGACTTTTCCTAGCGACGCTAGAATATTTCGACAGTATTGGACACAATATATAAATACTAAAACTATTATAACTATCTGTGAATTAAATTAAAATATATAGTTTATCTAGAGTATTACCAACACTTATTTAAGTCAGGACAGGTCGTACTCAAAGTCGTTAATTGGTAACTTATTTCGAGAAATCTATACTAAGTGACTATTCAATTCTGTGTTCATTTCCTGCGATCCTGGGTCATCTGTTATTATTCTAATAAATGTAATATTTCTTTGTTATCAGAGTTTCCTGGCAGCGAATGCTAAATGCTGGTGGGCGGGCGCACTGGCGGCTGCGACCGCGGAACTACGGTACGCTGGCTATGTGGCGCCCGGCGTTCTGCTGGTTGCTGGCGCGCCGCGGGCGCTCGAGACTGTCCGCGGAGCGTACTCGCGCTCCGTCCTCAAACCGCCCCCAACATATCTCATTTGTGGACTCGGTAAGTACTTATTATTATGGTCAAAATCACGTTATAAAGGGTAACGTAGACATAATAGAATTGGCGATCCTCCTACTCCTTAACGTCTATTCTTTTTTGTTTTTTAAGTTCGAAGAAAAATGAACTTTACTTTAAATTAATAGTAACTAGTTTAACATTATTGTATAGAACTTGTTAAATATTAAATGAACATTTAAAACGTCTAGTTTCTCATTTCTGATTGCTAAAAACCATAAATTACCTAATTTATCTGTCCGTGCTATAGAATGAGACTGATTTCAACCCACACATTATAAAGCTAGAGTTAGCTCCCGTATAACTTGAATTAATTCAACAAACGCTGTAATAAACTTGAAACTAGATTGCATCTAGTCCGGTGCACGAGGTGATTTATTGTCTGTGCTCAGTAAAACGTTCAGGTTTTATATAATTGTGAAGCGGTAACGGGCACCTTGGAAGCTATTCAGAATAAGGCGAAGGTACGCACAATCCTAAGATTATTGAACTGAGTTATAATACGGCTGAAGCTAATCTACTTGGAATTTCATTGTTTGCAAAGTGGTGGAATATTTGTGTTTATTTATAACTTAGAAATAACTACTCCCGTCTGTATTACAGACGTATTAGTGAAAATTTTATAGGTAATATTTCGTTCTATCAATACTGTACACAGCTGTATATTTTACGACATTTTCAGGAGGAAAAAAATCCTTTCTACGATGAGTCGTTATCGACTACGCGGCTGTGTGCTGCTGTAACGTTTTTGTTTTCTAAATGCATAAAAAATAATACCTGGCTAAATAAAGCTCTTTAAAAAAAATATAAAGCAACTTTACATACATTATTCCACAAAAAGCTTTTTTCACTGAAGCTTAAAGCTCGTAATTTCCGTTCTCGTGTGTAATTACGGAAAAATCGCTTTTCACATTAACTTCGCCTACATATAAGTAAAAAAAAAATCCCATCAACGTTTCCCACAATTTGCACACAATGAAGTTATAAGTAATGTGCGATGCCCACGCGGTCGGCTCTCTTTGTACCAGTGCACCTACGAACGACCTTGCAAGGACGTTTTGAATGTAGTTACAACCAAGCTTTTAATCGAATATACGTCAAATTTGCATAGCAATAGAGTCTAATTTTCATATTTCATTTAGGTATTGAAATTAGGTATTTGATTTGTAATTGCGATATTTGAGGGCTTATACATTCCTGTGTTCCGATAGTTATTTTTAATACATATTTGTATCGAAAAATTTGGTCAACAAATTGTAAAATTCACAATAAATCATAGTTCTGACTTTTGTAAAGATATCGCAATAAATTTTATCCGACAATCCTTTCAAAGAACTTTCAATAGAGCGTAGAAACATTTGGTAAACAAGTTAACAATAAGTGCCATTGATTCGAAAGATAGTTTCAAGAAAACTTCGATGTCATGTTTACTGCACAAAATTATATTTGTTTAGTAATATTTATGACAAAGAATATTGAAAATTAGAAAAGAGGCCGGACTATAAAACGTCCGAGCAATCATAATAAATTCAAAATAATTTACGGTAAAAATTTTCACATAATGAATAAAACCGTCCCTTTAATGCATTATAAAAGAATTTATGCAAGCAGGTGACTTGAATCATTTTGGAGTAATATTAAATTAATGGTTGGTTCATGCAATAAATGATCAATAAAAGTTTGTCATTATTATTTATTTACAATTTATATAAAACACATTACACAGTTATTAAAGTTATTGCATGTGTCCTTAAAAGCTTATTAAGTAAATTAAGATTAAAGTAAATACTTAAAATTGTGCAATGCCAATTATTAAACACTTTTGTCTTTATTTAATAAGCGTCAATCAGGGCAATTTGGCAAAGTCAAAATGTTTGGTAATAAGTACATATTTTTAATTATAATATTTTACAACTAAATATCTTTCATATCCAGTTTAAAATATTAAAAAAAACAATGAAATATTATTTAAATATTAATTAAAAGATAGTCTTAAATCTATGATATTAAATAATAAATTTAAAAACGAATAATTAACTAAAATATATTATTAAAAGGAGTCCATTTAGGCAAGGTTCCGAAGATACTGGAAGCGTTCCCCCTTATAATTGTTTCAGTAATATAAAATTACTTGCTCTTGCCTGCGATTCCGTCCGCGAGGAAATTAAAAAAAAAACTTAGCTAAGCTTTATATCTTCAAACATTCATACATCTAAACATTCACTTTTATAATATTAGAAAGTCTTTGGTACTTTTTTTTGTCTAGTTCTACTTTTTTCATATTGTTTTATTTATTAGCAATCAGATGATTTATCTTGGGTTTAAGCATGTTTCCTACACATTTTAAAATATTATACGCTAGAAGAAAGTAAACTAGCTTTAGAAAATCAACGTTCGTATCTCAACAAACTGTATTGCTTATCAAAAAGTATTTGCAACATTGAATTCACAATTGTTGACATTAAAGCCCCCAGAAATGTCAGTAATGGTAAGATTAAAAGAGTACACTTGATGCACTTACAACATATTTAACAAGCTGAATGTATGAATGTTTCAAATTCGGAAGAGATGTAGCAACTTTACTTAAGTGGACACCATTTTTGGAATGTCATGAAACTCAGGGATTGTTGTTTCATAATGCTACTTGACTTACAAACTATTAAAGCAAATGTATTTATTTTAAACAAATCTTAATTTGACATTATTAAAGATTTTTGTAATCTTATAAAAATCAATTAAACAAACTTTAGTATAAAACGGTACTGATTTAAATATCAAAGTTCGAAGTTCAGAATTGTGATGTGATTTAATGAAAAAAAAATGCCAATTCGTAGCAATTCGGATTCGAGAAACTGTGTAAAAATATGAAGTTGTCTGCGTTAAACCTCATTTCGTGCCATTTCATCTTTTGAACAATATATTTGACAGAACGAAATTAATTTAAAGAAAAACTTTTACTTTCTTCCAATTTTCAAGACCATTTCGATGCTTCGTCGAGATTGAACTTGCTTTTACCGGTCGTTAAGTGACATGACAATGTAATACCATGAATTTAAATTCTGCATCATCCAGGTTAACTCTACTTACAAGTTTTCCCATAGTGTCCCCTTTTATTACCTATTAGCGTAACATGGTAAGTAAAACCTGATTCGTAGAGGTTTTATCTTTTCATTGTATACAAGGTATCTGTAGAAAGCTGATGCCATTAAAGCATTATGTAGAACAAATTTAACCCTTTATGACAGCTTAAAGCAACTTCATTAGTGCGACATTACATTATGTACATATAATAAACCATACCACGAAGCTATCTCCGTAATTTAGTAGCGCTATATAAATAATAAACTAAAGTCAAGAAATCTTACTAATATTATAAATGCGAATGTTTAGATGGATGGTTGGATGTTAGAAGGTATCTCCAGAACGGCTCGATTTAGATTAAATTTGGCAAAGATATAGAACATAATCTAAAAGATCGTATAGGCTACAAATAAGTTTTTTTAATTCGCACGGACGGACTCGCGTACGACAGCTAGTGTATATACAATCTGGACAGTGATAAATAACAAACCGACAGATGTTTGACATAGTATGTGAATGCTTACGAAATGTTTGCAAATTTAATAACAAATTGGTGTCTATCTGGAAACACTTAATTTTACACGCATCAGTATGCATAGTTACCCAGCGGGAGGTAACAGGTAATAGTATTGGAGTTCAGTATTACCGCACCCATTTCACTTACATCGTCTACGCAAATTACCTTATACCTTTTCGCGGTACGCAATGTTTTCAATTACGTTTTGTAGGGCTACTTATATCGGTTGCAGTTCGTTGAATTACTGTTAAAACGGCAAATTGTTACAAGCTTTAACCTACTTCTATACAAATTTAATTAGAATGGTGAAAACAGTAGCAGAATTTCTTATTTAAATCTTATTCTTGGTCCGTCTTATTCTTCCAAAATACATAGATCTAAAATATTTTAGATTTTAGAAATTCTCGTGTCCATGATAGTTAGTTACCATCGTTCGTAACGGTTAAACCGATTTTTATAAAAATTTTATATGCATATTCAGTTGGTTTGAATCTGCTACTTCCTATATTTTTAAATTCGGCATGGACGGAGGCGCGGACGACAGCTAGTATCTTTGTACATTTGTTTCATTAGCCCAAATTCACGGTAAATATCCAGTTCAAGCTTTATATTGAAGTTGTGTAAACTTTTTGTCTTTCCAAATCCATGTATTGTTTATATAATATCGTAGTACCCAATGCCGTATAAAAATTAAGAAATGTTTATTTAATCTGTAATCAAAAGTGTACGTAATCGTATGTAATTATATATTTCGGATTGCTTAAAATCATCCACGTAAATATCGATAAACCCGGCTAATCGATTCTCGTACAATAAACAATGATTACAAACGACATATCGATAATTGATCGCAAATTGTAACAATAGCAGAAAGCGGTCGCGGCTCGTGCCGGTCTCGCAACATGTTGTCTTTGTCAATGAGAAAACAATCATTAAATCGAATTAAGATCGATTATCCAGCAAGCAGGTGATACAATGTTTCAAAACTTGTTATTGCATAGGATAATCTTACTTCTTACAAATATTATAAATGCGAATGTTTAGATAGATGGATGTGTATTTGAAGGTATCTCCGCAACGGCTGAAGGGACCTCGAAGATATTTGGCACTGATGTAGAACATAGTCTGGAAGAACACATAGGCTACTTATTTAGTGTTTTTTAAATTCCGCGCGGACTAACATAACTAATGTGAAATTAAACCATTATAGCATTTATTTCTTTGTTAGAAGTTTGAATGATTAATGATTGCAATAAAGACTAATTTTAGTTATTTAAATATTCCATCTTAAATCATATTTCAGTGTTGTACAAAATTGTTCTGAAATGCATAAACATATTCTATAATTGGTATATAATTGTACCAGTTTCCAGCGACAGTAATAAAC